TTTTCCAGTGACGAGTTAATAAAAGCAGTTTCTTGATATCGTTTATTTGTTTCCTGTTCCTTTGATCGACCGTCCCTTGTTTTACGCGCCTTGAACTTTATGCTCGTTAGGGTTGAGATAAGTGAAACCCTATTCTCAATTCCCCCCACACACTTCACTGATGATAACTACATGTTACTACTTAATTTTCATTTTTATTCAGACCAATTTCGAGGTGAGCTTTCAGAGTTAGATGATGCGGGTACATATTTTGATCTTGGACCAAGAAAGACAACAGAAAATGGTCACTACCATTTCATGTGTACGAGGAATAACAATTTCTCCAATCGTAGTCAGAAGGGCAAGATCTTGACAGTGGAGCAAATTATTTCAGGTGCTGCTATTGGCTGGAATGGTGGAAATCTTACAATTGATGGGTAGGTTTCTTTTCATAAAATGGATTGTTTATTGTGATGCAGTTGAACACATGCTTCTGAGTTCCCTCTGTTGAACACTCCAACCACATTTGAATAATCAGTATGTGTTATACTTGGGCTTTGAGTTTTTATTCTAAATGTTATTAGAATATCCCAATGATAATTATTTCACCGTAAGCTTCATAATTTAGGGTCGCCTGTTTATTATGAGCTGACCCTGAAACTGAAAACTAGAAAATACTTCAATTAATTCAAATTACAAAGAAACTGTGACTCTGGTTTTATTCAGTGAAAAGTAGAATGCCAATCAGCTCATCTGGCCTACAAATTTATTGTTTTTTCAAGTCAAAAAGCTACTGAAAACCACAAAACATTGAAATTTATTTATAAATGCCAGAAAAACTCATTTTCTCATGCCAAGTATCAGCCCACAGCATTGTTAATCGACCTGCAATAAAATCCTGTCTTGTCACGCATGTGTAACTTAAACAGCCATATGTGGCTGTGGCCACCATATTTGAAAGTTGAGAAGAGATATACCAAACAACTGCATATTAACACATGACCTGTTGCTTCTGAGCATTTTCAATTGAATCAAGTTGCCATTTTGAAAACATGTGACTAAACTTGCTGGCCACGATAGAGAAATAATGTTGTTGGTCTTTAATTTTTGAGAAGCTTTAAAAAGATTATTCTGAAATAATGTGTCATACAACTGTGATGTTCATATCCACTCAAAAACATTAAAAAATTATGAATCTTGGTATATAAATACTCTTAAACAGTACGATGACCTAGTTTTGGGTTTAAATACATCCATAATAATTACCAAATTTACATAATAATCAACGATTTTATAAAGAATTATCACACCTGATGTTTGGATTGAAATCCATGCATAGTAATTACCTAATTTTCATAATAATTTCCTGTCTACCAGTATATATCAAAACCCAATTATTGCATTTTAATAAGACTTTGTGATTGGATCACAGATGACAGACTTGCAGCCATCTTGCTTTTTTTGGCCATATAATTTTATCTTAGGTATGAATAACATTTTCCCTAATTGCATCAGAGAGTGTGTCATTAACAATGACTTGTTTTATATTAATTGTTAATAGCTTTTTCAATCTGGAGATAGATGAGTAATGACACTACTAATATTTGTTTTGTGTTTTATATTACAACAAGTACCAACATGTATTACAAATTATCTTGTTCGGTTTTATCATTGGTTGTACTAGTAAAATACTGTAATCATTTCTCACATTGACTTTTATAGGCTTGCTGGTATACATGTTGAAAGGGATACTTTAGATGATCTTTATAAATTCCAAATGGAGGTATGGGCGGCCAAACAAGGTGAGGCAGCGATGCATCAGATTGGTCGCCAAATTTCAGTTGGTACAGGATATGCCAGTGATTATGTTGTTCTTCACCCGCAACAAAAAGTAACGCAAGATGATAAAACTTTCACAATGAAGATAAAGGTTACTCACCCAACAACTGAAGACATTGCTGTATATCGTAGCAATGCGGATACCTTTTCCTCATGGCATCGAGTTAGTGCAGTCAAGCAGGGGGACAGTGTTTTATTTGAGACGCAGGAAGGTGGCGTATATGTTGTGCGCACAGAATCGGACGTTGCCGCTATAGTAGGCATTGTCTTAGGATGTTTAGCGGCTATTATTATAATTGTTGGTACTGTGATTTATTTCAGAAGACACCCAGACAAGTGGAATAGGGTGACACATTCTTGTAGTCGTGCTAAAAAGTCTACTCAAAGCAAAGTCTGATGTACACTTTCTGTACATTTTGAGTTTAATACCAATATAATTTACTTATCTAACTGCCCTCCCCACACCTGTGGCCACCAAGAGGCACAGTTGACACTATAACAGAATGCTAACATAATGCCATAAAGTTTAATACAGTGAGACAATATTTATAACATATTTACAATTTGAGTTCGAGCAAATTTGACAAAAACATCTTTAATGAAAGAAGATTCCCACTAAGATAACTTGTATTTCAAATTTAAAACATATTTTGGATTTTGTGGCCTTGCGTTATAATAATGTTTTACTGTTTTGTGCTTACGTTCAGTTTTCGTTGGGTTGTGTTAGGAATTATTAAAGTTTTAGTAATGTACATGCACTCACAACCATTAATAATTTGGAACTTTGATACATATTAACTTTCAATACTAACCTCAAGACATCTTTGAACATATTGTAGTCTCTCCGTATCACCAAACTTTACAATATATTAGCCATACTAACTGTCAAGTGTTTAGTCAATATGATTAATACACAAAGACTAAAAGTAATAATCAACTATTCAATGTTAGTAGCAATGGTTTCCCGTCCCCTTGCACATTTACATGCTTTTATATTATAGATTTCAAACTTGACAAAATAAGTTATAAAATCATGTTGATGTTGTTTATCAAATGTGAAAAATATTCGTACTTACAATTCATGTTTATAATTCAAAAACTAGAATCCAACATTATTTCTTTGGGATTTAAAACAGCCAATCACAAAAAACTGCTGTCCCAAAAGCCACAACCATCCTTAATAACAAAAATTACTTTTTAACCAAATGTTCAAATGTAATATAAATCAATATTCCAGTCATGCTACGAATGCTGGTCATTGTGAACATTATAGCATGCACATTATTAGAATAATTACATTTGTTTATTGTTATATCAATTATGTACTGGTAATGTAAGATGTATTTTAATTTTAATGTATTCAAGATGCATCCATTGACTGATGTGAATAGTTGTATCTGCTGGCCAGAATTCTTTTAATAGTCTTTTGAAGGTTTTTATAGTTTTTGTAATAAAGAAATATTTTACCACTATTTTTATAATTTTTGTTTTTAATGTGTAGTAACATCTGTTCTGCATACCAATACATACTCCATTTACTTCTTGAGTAAAAGTTCTCGTAATTTGTATATTACAAAATGGAAAAAACTACAGCATGAAAACGTTATCTGTTTATCAATAGACGCAAACTTGTGTTGGTTGTAATGATACATAACTAACAACAGGGCTGCAACTACCAAGGCTGAAGTGTTTAGCAGCGAGGGCTGCACCCGAATAAACATTTAAATAAGGGTAAATGAATAAATAAAAACAAAGTATAACGTCATCGAAATAATGGGTTGTCAAAACACATCATGACCCTAAGATGTTATAAATATATGCAATTGAGAATAAAGAAAAATCTCCCGACTACGGGAACTAACTACAGTGAACTAATCAATGCCAAGTGAGCGACTCTTACAGACTCATGATCAACAAGACTGTGTCAGCAACGCGAACCAGAGGATCAGTGTCCCATAGTTATAACATTATTCTGTACACTAGCACGATCTTCCGTGTTGGCAACCCCTATTCGAAATGAATGACCTGAATATTCAGTTGCATCCTCCCTACAATAGCAAAGAGAGGTTTGAGACATCGTGTGAACAGTTGCTATGAGAAACCATGGAACTGGCGGTTCAATCAATAGATTTCTGCAATGCATAACCTCAATGTATCTCTGCAAGGCTTTGAAAGGACAACAGAGATCATTGCTATGCAAAGTGGTCACGTTTCCCCTATGACATGGATCAGTTTTTGAAGCCTTAATTCTCCAAGACTCTGCTGGTCGCTTTTAATGCTTTTAATTATCATCCATGCTCAAATTTACTCTATGTTCGAACTGGGTTCCATTATTAAGTGTGAAATCACCGAGGGGGGGGGGGTCACTCTATATGCTGTTACTCCCTCATGTGCGTTCCAAATTTAGCGGGAAAGCAGGGTGTTTTTCACCTTTTAAAACGGGCCCGCGAAGGAGGCAAATAGGTCCCATTTAAAATGCTAATGTCTGCAATAGGCGAATTGGCGGGCCCATAGCCCCGACCAGGCCACAAACGTCCGCCTGAACTTTCCCGCCACTTCCAACACGAACATATAGAGGCTTATTGTAATCGAAAAAATGAAACGAAACGAAACGGGATAACAGCATTCAGCTCCTGCTTTTTCTGGGTTTTCTGTCCTGTATTCACGCCAAAGTCACTCGGAGCTGAACATAAAATTGCGTAATGATATCTAATCCTGGCAAAGTTGTGTGCATTGTGTATTAAACTATCAAATAAATGATCATATTCAACTGAATTTTCTGTTTTTACTTTTTTATCATCATGATTTTATTTTTTATTGTAATTTTATCTATATCTCAACAAAGATTTGATAACAATAAAGTTATTATTATTACTATTCACAATCATGTCAATATTTCTCATCTTTCTCCATCAAACAACGAATGACACCAACAGGAGTTGCATACACAGTTACTTGTTTGAGATTATCACACTCCACCTGAGTGCAATAAAACGGCAGAGAATGCTCGCAATAGGGGATAGGATGTTCTCAATATATGTCTGAAATAGGGGGTGTTTTTTTCTTCAATATGTCTGCTCTAGGGGGTACTAAATTTACATTGCGTCCACAATAGGGGGTATGGTTTGCCAATGTGCTGCCAGCCCTAGGGGCCTATTATTTCTTAGCAAGAACGCACATGGTGTAAGGTTTTAATATAGAGTGACCCCCGGGGGGAATCACGGTTTCCGAGGAAGCCAAAGACCGCTTCTAAAAGAACAAGATAAGTAGCTATATACATATACCTTTAATAATGCTTCTCCAGACTGCTGGTGACACATCTACAATATTGGGTACATTGTGTGACAACATTCCAACTACCGATGATTCCAATTACTGGCAAATTCTAATAATAGTAGCATCCAGTGTAGTTACTTGACTTCTTGAGTTCATAGAATTGAAGCAAATTTTTCCTAGCCATAACAGAGGACAGTTTATACTTCCATATCTGGTAATTTGTCGCGTAAAACAGACGTTGTCCAGTTGGTAAGTTCATGAGCATTTAGTGCGAGTCAGTCGTGGAGTTGAATCCCATTGCATGATTTAGAGGAACATTACTCAGGACGTAGATTCCTTCCAAAATCTATTTGGTGGTCCTTGCCAAACCCTCTAGCTGATGCAATCGAGATATCATCACCGCCACCACTATAATGCCAGTCGACTCCCAGCTGTGGTTTTGTCATTCATTAGTGAAATGAACAGCTGATTTTTATCTCACTTATCTGATAAATCGAATCGGTTTTGGACAGCTGATTTTTATTTGAGTTGTCTGATGTGTTCTTGATCGTATTTTGCAAGTCGCATTAACCTAGCCCTGGATTCCATTTTGTAGGTACCTGACAATAATCAAAGTAACCCATAACAACCTAATAGACAATATAAGGTTCTGCAGCCACCTGTTGATATTTGATATTGACATAATGTAATTCGCATATTCGCATAAGTTTGTTCTTTGTATTTTTTCGAGGATCTAAAAATCTGCCTTACAAGTTGGTACTTCTCATTGCAGTACAACGCAATTTAAAACATTGGTTTCAATGACTTTACGGTCTGAAAGTCAAAACAGAAAGATCTGTACATAATGTTGTTACAAACTAGTTCTAAATAGAAAATAAAGTTTGATGTTACAGTAGAGAATATATTTGCCTCATTACAATGAGTTAAATGTATGTATTATTGTGTTTTATGAACATTTACATCCTCGTCCAAAGAAGACAACATTTATTGACACTGGAGTTTTAAGAAATATTGTTTTTCTAATAAGCTTATTTTACCTTATCATCAATGTAAACCATGTGGTAATGCTATGTGATTATTACTGTTATCATTTACTGTGTCATTTAGGTTTCCTATACGCGAATTAAATAGGCCAAAGACATGTTCATGTGGAAAACAAAAGCAGCCAATGTATTAATCATCTTTCATTTACGTTTCTTGTATTTTTATTAACAAGATAGCAACGCCATATTCAAGTTAATAGCAACAAAAATACAAAAAGATACAACATGAGTAAATACAACACACATTTTTCAAACCATTGACAATTCCAGCTTAGCTGGTTTAATTAAAAAGATCTTAAAAGAATTGTTGATATATATCTAATGAAAAAAGATAGTACTGGTATATAACGGTTGAAAACTTTGAACGAAACATTGATTTTCAGCGAGTAATGTCGAAAATGAAAAATGTGGGTTATTTTACATTATAACACATATTGTAGCTGATCATTATATCAATGTTTCCAAATATTGCAATAAATATTATGATTTTATAGCACCTACATTTTTGTGAGTATGTTCATTCATGCGAGTTATTGCAGGCGTTTGTTTCCGGCATTTTACTCTCTGCAGGATTGTCTTTAGACACAAATATCATGCGTCGCTTTCCGTTTGAATTGTGCAAGTCAAGCCCTACTATCACTCCCAAGACATCACAACAATTTGTATTCAACACAAATGAAATATAATTTTTAATTGCCATTAGCTTTTTTCACATTGCATGTACAATGTGGTATTTAAGATACACTTGAAAAGGCTCTTGATAATGGTGAAACAATGTCGTTTTTACTTCTTACATTTCATAAAATATGAATGTAAATGTGTGAACTGTTTTAATCCATGAAGACTAAAGGATATGTTTGAAATGAAACGAATCAAATAGTATTCTTATAGGAATATTGAAATGATCCAATAGTGTTTATGGGATACCGACAAGATGAATCAGATCCCATTCAGAACTAGAAATAACATTTACTTGTACATGACCTATCATACTTGAATTTGACATAATAGTAGGCTTGTCAAGGACAACATTTTTACCTGTCCTCACACTTTCATTCATTGCATTTGACCTTTCCCATCACCACTATTACTTCCCTCTTGCTCTTTCTCTGGGAAGGTACACGCCTAGACTTCTAGCTATTAGAGGACTGTAGCTAACCATTGGTGTTTAAGTGTCTTTGATGTATACAAGCATTTTCAAAGTATATTTCGTCAGCATTAAATGTCACCCCAAACTTGAGTTTTTCAAACATTCTCAAGTTCACATGTCAGTTCTAGACAGTTAAACTAGTGTAGCTTATACTAGTGTAGAATTATTTTTGTGGGTGAAGGTAATGAAGCAGGCTCATATGGAATGGGCATCTGAGATAAGCGCCTAAAGCCAGAAACACCATAAACCATTGATTTAGGTATAGAAGTGAAGAAGTGAAAACCGGTGCTAAATAAATAGTATACTGTTTCACATACTTATTTTATTCAAGTTCACACATTACTAATACATTAAAGTGTATAACACAGCAACTCACACTATATGTTTACGTTAAATCACTACTACACCACAATGTACTACTACAAAAACAGTATAGTAATATTCAAACTTACTTAATTAAAGAGACTTAGTAGTAAGACCAAGAAAGTAAATAGTTACCAGTCAACATATTTTATCCGATTGTGATGGATTGTGATGGATCCTAACATTAATAAACACCACATATTTTCAAAAAAGAAGATAGCTGCAAGTCGGCCATCTTTGATCTGATTATGAAAGAAGCTATCATGGATATGTGTATGTACCAAAAATCAATAAATATATTCCATAAGTCTTAGAGAAATAGTTATTTTCGAGAGACTGCATATTCAATAAACAGTCGACCATCTTGGATGGAATCACTTAACCACTGCATGCGCACATGTCTCACATCTCGGAGACTGATTTATAAGTGTCTGCCTTCAAACGCTGACAAAAAGACTAGACTGATTATTGTCTTTGTTTTCGAGCTTGATAAATCCGGAATCACTCTCTGCCACAGGCGGGATTTTACTATGATGAAATTGTTTTCGCGTATCTGTTAATCGACTTAATTAGCTGATTATTAGCGAATGGTTGTGTTATGTCTGTCATCGTTTAGGCAGGCGAGGTCCTGGACGGAACTCGACTCAGTGATTTGGAACTAATTACGAGATAACCGTCGCTATTCGGACTACTATTTCTGACAGTTGGTATTCGTAGTTATTAATGTAGTGAACGATTAATCAAAAGATATGACGTATTCAGTACTTAGTGTGATTGGCTTTATGATTGAAGGTTACGCCCTAGAGTCTTTTTACTGCTTTGTAATTGGTTAATGTTTTGAAAATGAATAAAGTTGTTTTGAGTTGGTCTTGGCGAGTACTCCACGACAGACGCAGTCCAGTCCTGGAGAGTCTTGGGGCGAGCCTTGAGGCAGTCCAGTCTTGGGCTAGTCTTGGGTCAGCCTTGCGATAGTCTTGGGGATTTTTCCCCAGGGCGCTGTGTCTTATAGAGTGCTCGACTGATCGACTAAGACGAGAGTTGAAACGTATTTCGTTGTGTGTGTCTTATTTGACTATAAAGCTCAAGTGACTTTCCCGATCCCGTACCTCAAGGGGACGAGATATAGAGACGAGACGAGATTCCTCCCTGACACGTGTGGAGAACCCCAGAAAGAACCTCAGAGGAGAAATTTCCCCCTGATATTACACCTAAATCCGCGGGAGATTAATTTTTCTTCAAATATGCCTTATTCATAGTTTTTCTTTTTATTTTAGGTGATAAATAGGCACGAATACGTTGGCAAACACAAACACATAGGTCCGCTCTTGAATAGAAGGACGTGAGAGTACCATAACAACACTTTGAGTTGAACGTTTGATTCTGTTGAAATGTTGAAATAAATCAAAGAAATAAAGCCTAATAGACGTGTTCTGGTTCTTGTTTAGTGCACTGCTTTGATAATGGTCCTTCATATTACCATATCTGGTGCCACCCAATTGACACAACTCTGTGAGCAAATAAGTTGATTGACCGATTTTCGAAATACCTTATCTGTTATATAATATACCAGTGGGTTGTACGCGCATGAAAACTTTGCAAACAAAGTTGGTAACGTTGTTACTATTATTGGAATGTCAGCTGAACTACCATGTATTACAAAAACTAAGGATAATACTGCATATGGAGTCCAAGAAACAAGGTAACATATTGTGGTAATTGCGAACATCTGAAAATAAACCAAAACAATTCAGACAACGTGAGTTGGAGATTACAAACAGCAAACAGGGATGGGGAATAAAATCAGTTAATTTCTCGGGTAATATTCACCAAGTGAAACTAGATAACAAATATATAGGCAAAAGACCAGGATAGTGGGTGTGGCTAACCATATTCACTGTATTGTAACAGCCACATAAGCAGCACAAGCCAAACGTCCAAACGTGTATCCATACTTCACTCTAAAACAGGGCTTGTATTTACAACCAACGCGTTTATAAAACGTTCCATGAATTGTTCAATTATAAATATAATGTTTACCTTAGTTGTTCTTCCTTCTTTATTCATCTCGCATTGTTGACTTTCTGGGTATAAGTTTCTTTGTGTCTGTTTAATCTTAGCAATAATGCCGCCATAGCTGTATATGATTGATACTAAGCAAAATGCGAAGCACAGCACGAATATACAGACAATGTATGCAATATCAGCTGGTTGAGTACTTGTCCAGTCCAACGTACACGATGTCAGATGCGGTTCTGGGGCATACCTGGAAATAATTATGTAACTGGTTGCATAAAAGAACGATAATAGATTGTGTGGTATCGTATGTTAATCAGTCTCAAAAAGTTGTTGTTTAATTCACTTACAAAAAGTCAATATATTGTAATTGATCTATTGTTTAGCAACTTCAATTGTTCACACTTATGTGTTCTACGTTTAAACGCTAACCAAAAAAACATACTCATAATTTTCCTGACCAAAACAAAACGAGCTACAAAAAGCCGCGAACCTGTCCCATCCTATCAGAGGAGCAGTCGCCCAAAATGCTGAGTACAACCATATCATGGCGATTATAATAGTTGTCGTCTTCTGTGTTATGGCTGTTCCTGAAAATTGAAAAAACAAATAGTATTAATAATTGAATAACACACACTTGGCATTTCCGCTCCCTGTACTATTTTAAAGACATACACCTGAAATGTGAAGGAAAATCTCAGTAAGGTTACCACGTGCACTTTCGACCATAATCGGTTAAAATACTGCAAGTAAAATCACATTACTACAAACTAAATCATTATAATACAATATAAAATCTAAATTCGAAAACTACAATCTCTAAACCATTAAACTACAATGTATTTACAAAGGAAAGTGGTGAAATATCAAATACCAAACCAGTGTACATACCGAGTGTGTCAAATAGCATGAAAAAATGGTTTATAGTGCAATGATCAAGTACGAGTACTTTAAAAAACCTTCAATATCTGAAATGCATAGTCAAGGTAGAAGTCAACTTCAGCAAGGCACCCAGACATTGATGTGCATGGAATACAGCCAAAATAATGTGAGCCAAATGAAATGAAATGCAGTTATTTAAATCAGCAACCTGTAAATATATACTGGAATGACTGTTAGAATACGTTTTAAATAAAATACGCCCCATATCTAGTATGTTATTATTAGTCACACTGTTCCAATTAGCAGCATCCATAATCAGATACTTTACCAATATATCAGTTACTTTTATGTCATGCATGCACTGGCTTACCTTACCCTAATATTTAATTGACCGTTGATGAGAATTACCGGCAATAACTAATTCATCTTGACCTGATATTATACAAGTTGGAGGTAGGAACAGCACTGATTTTCATATCACTACTTAGCAACAAAATCATTCTCTTATTGTACAAATAAAGTTGCATAAATCCACACAGAAAAAAAGGTTGTTAATATGACTACCTCCAGTTTGTGTGCAATGAAAAATTCAAAGACTAAAGACATATATTTTCAGTTGAATAAAATTGTCAAAAAATGAATAATTTCAATAGATGTCAGCAAGACTTTTCTGTAATATAGTTGTGTATAGTGTAACACTATAATATTGAACATGGTATTGTTGTATAGTATATGGTAGTAATCCAGATCATTCCGATATTAACGTAGCTAATTCGGGTCATTTAAAAATTCAGTTAGATAAACACTAAGGTTAACCATCAAACTAAGAGAATCTAAATGACTCAGTCGTTTGGAGCGTCACGCTGTTCCAATTAGCAGCATCCATAATCAGTTACCAAGGTTACGAGACTGTTTGTCGTGCATGTACTGGTTTCAGAAGTGGTACCTAAATATTTAAGTGACCCTTGATGAGAATTAACAGCAATAACTAATTCATCTTGACCTGTTATTTCACAGTAGAAGCAGCACTGATTTCCATATCACCACTTAGCAACAAAATCATTTTCTTATTGTACAAATAAAGTTGCATAAATTCACACAGAAAAAGGGTTGTTAGTGTTAGTATTACTACCTCTAGTTTGTGCGCAATTCAAAAATTCAAAAACTAAATACATATATTTTCAGTTAAATAAATTTGTCAAAAAATGAATATTTTTTTTTAAGTCAGCAAGTCTTTTCTGTAATATAGTTGTGTATAGCGTAACACTATAATATTATATATGATATTGTTGTATAATACATGATACTAAGCCAACAGTATTTTCATTCAAATCCAGATCGTCCCGATATTAACGTAGCTAGTTCGGGTCGTTTAAACAATTCAGTGAGATAAACACAGAGTATCAATAGGGAATCTAAATGATTCAGTCGATTGAAGCGTGTCCAAATATTTAATCATTGACACTTCGATTTTGCGAGTCATGGAATGCCGTTCGATGGCGATGACGAAATATAAGTCCCAAAATATGCTACTCACTAAGATTTTTTTTTGTTTCTTCACGGTGGTTTTTCTATCGAAACATTTGCCGATTTTGACAATCTGTTTGTTTTGCACACCCCAAAAATCAGGCTGTCGGGCGTTGTTGACGGCGAGGCACCGCTTAAAACGTGAATGTTGACAAAACATACCCACATCTATTGAATATAAACACACGGCACTGTGACCTTGAGACAAACAAGTCAATCGCACGAAATAATTATTTATATAAATAATTAACTACTTAAATGCTACTTAAGGTAGATATGCAGTTTACCTGACAGGTATTTTAATTAGTTAATTAGGAAACTAAGATGACCTCCATTGTCCACAAAACTATATATTTTCGGAAAGCTTATGTCATGAATTTGTTTTTGCGTATCTGTTGACCGACTTAATTAGTTGATTATTAGCGAATTGCTGTGTTATGTCTGTCATCGTGTAGGCCTATTTGAAGTTTTGGACGGAACTTGGCTCAGTGGTTTGGAACTAATTACAAGATACCGTCGCTATTCTGACATCCGTAGTTATTAATGTAGTGAACGATTAATCAAAAGATATGACGTATTCAGTACTTAGTGTGATTGGCTTTATGATTGAAGGTTACGCCCTAGAGTCTTTTTACTGCATTGTAATTGGTCAGAGTTTTGAAAATGAATAAAGAGAGTTTGAGTTGGTCTTGGCGAATACTCCACGACAGACGCAGTCCGAGAGAGTCCAGGGGCGAGCCTTGAGGCAGTCCAGTCTTGGGCGAGTCTTGGTTCAGCCTTGCGAGAGTCTTGGGGACTTTTCCCCAGGGCGCTGTGTGTTATAGAGTGCTCGATAGACCGACTAAGACGAGAGCTGAAACGTATTTCGTTGTGTGTGCCTTATTTGACTGTAAAGTTAAAGTGACTTTCCCGATCCCGTACCTCAAGGGGACGAGATAGAGAGACGAGACGAGATTCCCCTCTGACAAGTGTGGAGAACCCCCGAGGAGAAGATTTACCCCTGATACTTAATTAAATAACAAAAACGTGAGTACCAGTGATTGATCGCGAGAACATTATTATACGGTGGACGGTCGATTCATCACGGAGTCACGGTGCAGTCCACCAGTCCAGTGATCGTCGGTTACAGACGTTATCAAACACTGAACAAATTACCTTAAGTAGATCGGCAAAAACACAAGCCTCGAACATTCATATATTGCTGTTAGGTATTATTTTCTCAAAGTACTAAAAACGGGACATTTGTTCGTTACCGTGACAGTTCATTCAAAGTTCAAACTTGCGTTGGGACTTAAGTTGATATAGTGTAACAATGTCGGCGCCGGTGATCTCTGGTCGGTGTGTAACTTAGCCAAAATAAAAAGCATGATCATTTGAACACTGCTATTACAAGATTAGATGGAGGTAATACATTTTGAGTAAAAGTATTAATTCAGGAATTCGTTTTCCGATTTTATCATCCAACTAGACCTACCTGCCAAGTATGAATAAAATCGGCCCAGCCAAAAAACACACAAATGTTAAAAAATATATCAAAAATATATCAAAAAAACAAATATTAATTTGTGCCCACACTTAAGCGGAGTATAATGATTCATGTCAGAGATTTTTAGTCCTAGCATTGTAGGATGAGATACATTTGGCGGGAAGCTATTCAAAGATGATGGTTTTGGCTGTTGCCATAAGAATGGTGTGCCAGGAAGTTTTCCCCGATTTTACCTCCCAACTAGAGTGACGGTATGGCCTACCTGCCAAGTATGAACAAAATCGGCCAAGCTAAAAAAAAACACTGTTGCCACGGAAACGGTGGGTCAGGAATTGTTTCCGACATGATATACTTTTTATTTATAAATATATAAGATTAGACAATAAATCACGGCTCTTTTGCGGGTCGCTAACGATGTACTATTCAGTTGCTCTCGTACTTTTGGATCTTTCAGCCGCTTTTGATACTGTGAATCACAGGATTCTCATCGATAGGTTGAGATCAAATTTTGGTTTAAATGGTCTCATCATCAAATGGTTTGAGTCGTATTTGAGTAACCGCATTCAAAAAGTGAAAATTGGAAATGTATTTTCTGATATTAGAAACCGGTGTTCCACAGGGCTCCGTCTTAGGGCCATTATTGTTCTCAATGTACATGCGTCCATTGGGCGAGTTATTGCGACGTCACGGCGTAAAATATCATTTTTACGCCGATGACACACAGATTTATTTATCGGTTTCTGAAGATGATCAAATTCGCGCCCGGGTGATACTTCAGACATGTATTCAAGATGTTAGCGATTGGATGTCTTGTAATTCCCTACTTTTGAATGTGTCGAAAACTGAATTTGTGTGCATGTCGTCTCGGAGATTCTCACAAGACTCGTGCCCTTTGTCTAGTATCGCAATTAGTGAAGAATTGGTTAGTGCTTCGTCAAGTGCTAGAAACTTAGGTGTCTTGTTTGATTCGCAGCTATCTATGGAAACACACATTTCTACTATTTGTAGATCTGGATATTCCCATCTAAGAAATATTAATCGTGTTCGTAAATCATTATCCCAATCTGATACTGAAAAGTTGGTACATGCATTCATATCTTCTCGCTTAGACAGCTGCAATTCATTATTGTCTGGTCTCCCTGTAACTAAGATAAAACCTCTTATTCGTGTACAAAATGCAGCAGCCCGCCTTGTCACTCGTGCTCGAAAATATGACCACATTACAGACATTTTTATTAAACTTCATTGGTTACCAGTTGTACAAAGAATCAATTTCAAATTACTTTTACTAGTGTATAAATCTTTGTATGGTTTTGCCCCAAATTATCTATGTGTATTAATAGAATTTTATGTACCTAGTCGTAGTTAAAGATCTGAATCGAAGTTTCTTATTAAAACTCGTCAGGTGTGTAGTAAAAAGTCCAAGGCGTTATACAAAGACCGTGCTTTTGAAAATTTAGGTCCTAAACTTTTTAATGAATTACCTCTGTCTGTTCGTTCTAGTCCTTCAGTAGACATTTTTAAATCCAGACTGAAAACGCACTTATTCAAATTTGCTTTTAATATTTGACTGATTGTTTATTGTATCAGCGCCTTTGATCTTCATATGTTGGAATTGTTGCGCTTAATTAAATAAAGTTATTATTATTATTTATTACAAAAGGTATAATAAATAGGACAATTGTTTACCTAAGATTTATAAGCTTTAATATGCAAGTAAAAGTAAGTAAATTGTTATCAAATTTTATGCCATATTAGAAGGCTGAACTAACAGGAATTTATTACATACATCGGAACAGTGATATAGTCAAACTATGTAGTCAATATGAAAATGTGGATTGCATATATATTATGTGTTGTGTTCCGCATAGCATGGCACATGTAGTCAATGAAATTGATAGACCAAAGCCAGACAAAAAAACTTCAACTCGGGAGGGCATTAGGTGAACTTGATACACATGAACATGTGTGATGTATGATAAAGTATATGATGAAGGAGATTTGATAAACATTTCCTGGATATATATGATTTATGATTAATTCCATTTAGTCCATACTTGGTTTAGGATTGATCACATTTGATGTACGATTGAGCATACTGTTCAGATTGAGGGTATTCAATTAAATTAAAATCGAACTTGCATCAGTGATTTAACCTGTATATGTCTGGTTAGATTGGTCTAGTAATATAAATCCGTAGTAGGGTTCATTAGCAATGACATAAACTAGTGTTTGGAAAGTGTACTGGTTTACTCGTCAATCGTCTATCACACAGTTTCTTTGATCAACCAATACCCGACCAGTCTTTAAAAGACAGTCCCAGAGCAAGGTTGTGATGCAAACTAAGAATGATATTTCATTTCATTTCAGATACAGTTTAGTCTTACCATCAGCCCACTATTAAAATAATTTACATAACACACACGCATCGATAACGATGGAATCTGTATAACGAGCCACTCAATATTTGGCAGTTGGTTACAAGAGATTGATATTTGAGTTTTTTTCTAACACGTGTAATGGTATACGTACTTACCATGGTTACCTACTACGATTAAATAACGTATGATCGCGATGACTGACAATGTTACCATGCTGACACAGTTGAAGAACCAACCAGAAAATCCAACCAAGGAACATCCAATGGAACCAAAATACCACTAGAAAAATACAAAAAGAACAATGTCATAATGTGTGTGGGGTCTTTCACAATAAATAACATGATGACTTCAACATTTAAATGTATGAATTAATGAAAAAAGCGTAATGTATTACTGTGATTGAGAATATACAAGCATGTAGTCATTACCATACAAGAGGGGAAATGTATCAATGTTATAACAAATAGTTTGTTAATGATTTAAAAATTCTAATTATCTGTCAATCATGTTGTCGATTACACTGAGAACATTACAATAGACTCTAGATGCAAATGACTAGTTTTCGCCCCTTAAATATTGTTTTAGTCTTGCTCGTTGTCACGTCCACTGATTCAAATGCAACGGGTGTATAGAGAACAGAGAACAGAGAACAGCGATATATAGATGTCCATTTGCGACATAATACTGCGACACTGTAACAAGTAAATTGTTGTCTATGCTAATCAACACTGTAAAAAACTTAAATCTTTGGAACACCAAATAACATTTTGATCACTAGTCCCTCATTTTGACGCACATATGTTGATTGGTTAACAGAAATTATATGTTCCAACAGTTGTTCTTTGACTTTATAGAACTATATGTCTTTCAACGAATACGTTCTTCCAAACTGGGTGCATTGCAAATCATATTTGATGTAATAGAAGTTGTGTGCATATACTGATTAAACTATTACACCTCCTTGTGATGCAGTGAAAATGGCAACACATCCAATCAATATGTATATTTCGAGTTCATGAAGGTCCAGCAGCCAAAAAAATGACGACTGATAACAATCTACAAAAACAACTGACATGTGCAACTAATTAACGTGCAACTAAAGATCAAGTGGTCTATTTCACATACCATATGTTTACAGGCGGAAACTGCTGCAAGCAGATAACCTGTAGTGACGGCACCGATATCAGCGATGGCGATGTTAGCAATGAAATAGTCATGCGTCTTTAGCTGCTTTCTGTTTTTTATTTTCACAACTAAAACAATTATATTGCCGAATAGAGACATTATACCTGCAATAAACACATAATAATCATTTATCAACGTTTTAATATGAATCCCATGTTAATAATAAGCGAAGCGAGAATGGTATTGTACATATCCCTTTTGACTAAAAATTGAAAATAGTACACTTCCGGTAATAAACAAGTGCCATCTTTTTTTCCGTAAATTATACAAAAAATCCTTGGAATGTTGTTGTTTCTGGCAATAGACTGAAATTGTTCAAATTTGAACCGTCTTTGGGGCCATCGTTACACAAGCCATCGTTACTCCCATTTACACCCCCATCGCCATATTCAACTCATGTGTGCAATGAAAACTTTGACGATCTTTAACGATCTAAGGTTACGTCACTCAGCAGGCATTGCTTGCAACATATTATTCAATATTTCTAATGGTCACCTATGAGCTGTGTGAGGTTAATTCTTATACATCTCGTGAAGGCCATAGTTATAACATAATATTTCTGTAGTTCACCTGACGTTTATGCGCTAACAAATCAGGGCACCATATCACCAGGGCCATCAAATATATATCTACTACTACTACTACTCGCAAGGGTAGGATGTATTTTAGTAGTCTTCTGGTACATGTGCCTTTCACGCTATTGTGTGCTTGTGGCTCGTGTGTAACTTGTACAGTTGTGTCTTAAATATATGTACTATGTATTATAAATTGAAATGCGAGTTTGACATCGTTTTGGTGGATCTCATGGGTTCCGTACGCGTACTGATAACTCAGCGCCACTGATGAATTGTTCAACTGTAAAATTGTTTTCTTTCTGAAATGGCCGTTTGTGGTTATGTTGATGGTGTTAGACAATATTTATATTTGCGCGTGTAGATGGAATTGTTTGTCTTTGATCAGATTGTATGTAGCATTAGTCTGTTTGAGATAGTTTTGACCCCTGTGAACTCATTATAGTAGTTAGCTTAGTACTTAGGAGTGCTGCTCTATGCCTGAGATGATATCTCGGATCTTGAATAACCAAAAAGTTGTGAGGTCATATTCCATTAACAATTCCACAGACCGTTGAAATGACAACCACAGAAGTGACATCTAGGATTTGTTTACTGTTAAGAAGACAATGGCGGATATGGGGGTTTCATAGGGGTTAATGTCAGAATCCTCTTTATGATTAGTTTAGTAGTAATAATATTTTGCTTTGGTTTAGCGTTGGCTTTGGTCACAACTCGTAGATGAACATATAACTTATTCTTCTGTGTTGTGTGTAGTTTTAATGAACACAAATCTGTCACAGGTATAACTGTCAGTAACCAACTCATTCCAGTAGAACCGATAGTACGCAAATCTATCAAACTGGTTCTTTTGAACGTTTCATCATGTCTGCCTTATAGTCGCACTATGAGTAAAATGCGTAGTATTGTACATGAGTACAACATGTGTGCTATGAGAGAACAAATTGCTCACTTGTGTTGGAATGAAGAAAATGGGGATGACCAAAACACGAATGAAGGGGAATAAAATACGGAACTAACATCTAAACCCTCTGGTTTAAACTATGCTAATATTTATATAACACCACAAAACATGATTAACAATCCTGATGGAACATTTGCACTTTTCGCACTTAGACGTTCAGATGAATAAAAGACTGACTCAGTTGAAGACACGGTACAAATCCTGCCTTACTTCCTCTTACTTTGAACGTCATAGGTAACATTTATACAACTCTTGGTCATGGCACTAATGCAATATCTGTTCATTTAAGTGAAGCGAAATTAAACAGAGGTGCGTTTCTATTCGTTTGCTATTATTTGTGGTTTAATACATATATGGTATGCTAATTGTGACAGGCAGTGTGGCAGCCCACTTGCTTATGGACGTGTATTCGCTCAGTAGTCAGAACTCTGCCGGCTTTTAGACAAGTTCAAACAAATAGAATATATCGTTTGTGTCCACGACGGTAAATTGGTAATCGAGGGTAACTAAAAGTTCATAGCCTCTGAAAGCATCCTTTCGGATTTGAATGAGGCGAGAGAGAATCATTCGAAGAGAGAATCATTCGATACCGAGAAATGTTTTAGAAATATATACAAGTGTCCATAAAAAATCAAACCTTCATGAAACCCGCTTCAGCGCGATTGGTTTACGACAACATTTTTTTAATCCAATGCAATCCAAATAACTATCGATCTCCTCAACCGCTTACCATTTCATAAACAACACAAGCTCGTCGTTCCACCGGTGTGTTTTAATAGTCTCAAGCATTTGTAATATGTGCTGCATTATATTATTTGTCATGGCAACAACAACAACTTCAGTGCGAGGATGTCGTTATGGACTGAAGTGATAACAAGTTTTTGAATATCTCAAGCGTGAACATCCGATCGGTTCTTTTTGCACAGGAAACGCACACAAATTCTTAAGATCAAAACAACTTGAATACTGCGCAGAGAATTATAATATTGCACACAAGGTGTCGTGATGCTTCAAGAAATATGATTTGTTTAAAATGTCAAGCGTGAACATCCGGGCGACTTATTTCTACTTTAGCAACACAATTGTGTGGGAGTGTAAAAAAATTGCATTCTATGGCGAGGAAAATTGAAATAATTTCTGAAACAATTATTCATTGATTTTTGCTCAGGTCGTTGTATTTATTGTTTTTCTGCACCTCAAACATCGCCTTAATCCCCACTATTAGTAAGACATACGAGTGTTTTGCATAATCAGAGGCATTTCCTTTTCTCTGATAAATCAAACGTCTCAGTACCAAACAACAATATTACAAAAATATGTTTTTGCGCATATCGCTTCTTCAATGAATAGCTTTATAATCATGATAAATCATATTTGTTCAGTAATGCAGTGATTGGTTTAATGCACGGACCACGCTTGTTCACATTAATATATATCTCAGACGAGCACAACCAAGAGTGGTGTTTGAACGTTGCGCAATATATATATCACAAATTCAACTGGGATGCGGGAGAATATACAATCAGGGGATTAACTCAACAAGACTGCAAGAGTACGATCGACCAGCACAGACGCCACAAATTGAGACTTGAAATAGAGGTTACATTCATAGAATATAAACTATTATTATACATCTGTCACTGTAACGCCATAAGTTATAGCGTAACGTAATTGTGCGGTATTTTAAGGGGTATTTTCATCCTAACGTATTAGGAAATGCGAATTACGCGCGTAATCGTCCTCTAATAATAAAAACAAACATGGCTGGCACCGGACCGGGGTTTGACCGGACTCCACACAAAGAAGTTCGCTGATTCTGTTCTAAACATTTTGGATTTCGACATCCCCATTGTGTATCCTTGGAAGGAAAGGATGTATAATAATAAAGTTATTACGATACCTCAAATACCTCAAAGTATACACGTCGGTCGGTCTTCGTGCATACTTTGATGTATTCTCTTAATAACCTTATAATAATGCCCTGTTTTGAAAGACCTAACAAATACATCTTGGTTGCTTTCCTGTTGGTCTATGTATTGTGTTTGTCACTTTTGTTTTCCCGGAATCATAAATTTGCTTGGTTATTGTGATGTTAGATTATGACTAACGATAGTGCTCCCACTTCTTTTTTGAGGTTTATAGTTCGAATAGTTCAATTAAAGCTCATTCTACTTCAAATGGGCAATAAATGACGCATTCTTTACGGGGAATAATGGAATGTTGCATGTATTGGTATAGATCGACAATGCAACTATTTTACCCATTTGATGTTTCTGGTCGAATAATGTCAAATTTTATGTAGATGTTAAGAAGTTAAATTGTAGTTGTTTCAGACATTATTAAAACTGTAAGATACGTTTGAAAAGTATTTAGATATGATGTAATTGTGTATTGTATTGTATTGTATTGTATTGTTGGAATTTATTTATCCCAAGAGAACGTTGAGGTCGTTGCATTTTTGGAAACTTGAAGATTTAACTCTGCTTGGAAAGGTATAAATTAGTAAATCCAAGGGCATTTCTAGGCTACAATATGTGCTTAATCTCATAACTTGTCCCAATAGAAATTACAAAATTAATATTTTTTATGGAACGCAAAAGATCGGGTTGCTTGTAAAAACTGTAGTTAGTGGAGTGGGGAAAAATAGAACATGACATTGCTAAAAGAAGAGCGAAAGACTTATAGACACCGAGCAACATACTGAAGACTGAACACCGAGGCAGCATATCGCCTCCCCCTGGACACAAAACAGTCTCTGCCAAAAAAGGTAAAATAATAACAAGCAAACCAAGACAGAGCACTATTGACGCGCTGTTAAAAGAGACAATACCAACAGTGACAGAGTAACATGTTGTTTTCCACTGAATGTATTGCCAGAATTATGTCCCGCAATCGAAGTATGTATACAACACACCCATGAGAATGCCATTGTTTGGAAATAAATGGTAAATGTTTCATCATGATGCAGACAGTATTTCTTTGATATCTCCTCTAACTTTCATTCACTAATAACCTAATATCATGATATCTAAGTCATGCAAATATGATGTTTGCTGAAAATCATATCCCATTAAACCTACAGTTAAGTTACAACTGTTGCAGACAAGAAACTTAGATGACACGAAATACTCAATAGAACAATAGACAATAGAAGTAGTAATTTATTAGCACTGTATGAATTACAATATATTTCGGGCGACTTGTTGTTAAATTATTGCATACAAGTTCTTTGTTATGTTTGGTGGAAATGAAAACACAAACTTAACACGTACAAAGTGCGTTGTAATTTTGTTTTGAAAATGAAAGGAAATGACATGTTCACATTTTTCGATTAATCACTTTAAGTCAAATTAAAAGTGTGGTAACACTGGAAGTTTCCCTTTTTTTAATTGATAGCAAAATTTCTGGGATGTAATTAGAAGACTTTGGAAACTGAGCTCTTTATATCATGAACAAATATAATAAAATCTCAAGCTACCGAAATACACGATTAATCTCAAAAGATTGCCCAGTCTTTGATAAATGGCGAATATAGTCAAAGTTCTCGTCTACTACTTTACAAAGTCAA